GGGAATGGGGATCCCGGGAATGGGGGATCCCGGGAATGGGGGATCCGGGAATGGGGGATCCGGGAATGGGGGATCCGGCAATGGGGATCCCGGGAATGGGGGATCCGGGAATGGGGATCCCGGGAATGGGGGATCCGGGAATGGGGATCCCGGGAACGGCAGCCCCGGGAGTGGCGGCCCCGGGAGCTGCGGGGCGGCGGCGCGGGGCTCATCCCGAGGGGAAGGAGGCCGGGCGGGCTCGGCTGTTGAAGTCGGGGCACACGCGCTGCACCAGGCGGTAATCGCTGCTGTAGAAGGTGATGTACACACACACGGCCCCGAAGGGCTGCGAGCACAGCCAGGCCGCGCGGCTCTGCGTGTGCTCCTGCGAACACGTCTTGGCCGGGTCGAACGTGCACAGCGACGTTTTCCTGGCCCGGGCCACCCGCTCCGACTCCACGCGGCAGTTGAACACCTTGGACTCCTTGGCCTCGATGAAGATTTGCTGCTCCAGGTCGAACTGCACGGCCTTGGTGGGGGGCACGAGGCTGACGGAGATGTTGCCGTGGCCCGTGGAGTTGTGCTGGAAGAAGACGTTGACGCTGCCGTTGCCGTGATCCACGACCTTGCCCGTGATCAGCAGGTTCAGCTTCACCGTCTTGATGTTGGAGTAGAACTCGCCCCAGCCGAAAAGCTTCCTCGGGTCCCTCCCCGGCCGCTTCTCCAGGAGCCCGCGGAGCCCCCGGGAGCCGCGGCCCAGCCCCGGGAGGCTCCGGTTGTGCGGCGGGGCCGGGCTGGGGCTCGGGAGGGGCTTTGGGGGGAGCAGCTCCCGCAGCTCCGGTCCCGGGGCTCTGCCGCGGCCCCGGGGCTCGCCTGGATCCGCGCCTGTCCCGGATTCCTCTGGAGCGCACAGCACCTGGACACGGGCACGGAGGAGCTGAGGGCTGGGGGTGTCCCCGACCCCTGCCCGGCCCCTTCCCCAGCCTCGCCTCCCCCATTTCCCCTTCGTTCTCTGCTCTGCGTTTCCCCTCCGGTTTTCCCGGCTCTCCGCCCCCCGGGACGCTCCGGGAATGGGTGCGAGGGATGCGATTCCTCCGGGATGGCTCCAGTTCGCTCCTGGCTGCCTCGGGGCCCGGGGGAGGGACGGTGCCCACCCTGCGCCCCCACCCCTGTCCCCGGCACGGCCCCGCCAGGGCCTGGGGACACCCGGGGCGGGGACAGGACAAGGGACAGCAGAGCGGAGCTGTCACCCGGGGAGCTGCCCCGAGCCGTGCCCGGGCTCCTCTGCCAACTCCGCTCCCGGAACCCCCAAATCGGCACATCCAGGGTTGCTGGGGTGGCCGGGGGCACCCGTGGGGGACCGGGGCACCCAGAAAAGCCCCGGAGTGCCCAGGGCTGACCCGGCCGAGGAGGCGGCGGGAGGCAGAGGAAGCATCGGGAGGCAGAGGAAGCACCGGGAAGCGAAGCCCGGAGCCGGCCCGGCCCCGGCTCTTCCCCAGCCCTCCCCGGGCTGCCGCGCGGGGATGGGGGCGTGAGGATTTTTGGGGTGATCCGGAGCCTTCTCCTCGCCAGCCCTGCCCGCTCCCCGAGGCGAAATAACAGAAGTTTTGGGAGGCGGATATTTCCCGGGGGTGGGCAGGGATGCGGGGTGGGTTTGGGGAGCGCTGCCGGCTGCCCGCACGCCCCATCCCCGCGGCTGCGCGACCCCCGGAGCCCGCAGCCCCCCCCCTGCCCTCCCGGCGCTCACCAGCAGCGCGATGCTGCCCTGGAGGAGGAGGAGGACGCAGCTCCGAGGAAGATGCATTTTCCAGCCGGCGCCGCCGCCTTCTCCGTGGCTCCGGTTTGGGGAGGGTTTCGCTGGGATTTTCCTCCTTTTTCCGTCTTTCCCTCCCTTCTCCTCCGGCGTCAGCGAGGGGAAGGGGGGGGTCCCCCTGCCAAGCGGCTCCCTACGGCCCCCCCCGGCCCATGGTGGCCCCGGCAGCTCCCGCCCCGCGGGGCCGCTCCGGGCGAGGCGCGGCGGCTTCACCTGCGGCCGCTGCTGTCCCCGTGTCCCCTTCCCTGTCCCCTCCCCTGTCCCCCTGCCCGCCCCGCCGCCTCCCGGCCCCCC